TTTTCTTGTCGCCCGGGAGGGGGGGATACTCCCTTATGTGGGCTATACAGGTATGTGCGGGCCCAAAGGGTATGGTTTTTCAGCCGTTTTGGTCATAAAATGGGTATCGATTTTAGCCATTTTCGTCATAAATAGGGAATGGCATTTGCACTCTAGCCTTGATATGGGTATTTTATTTAACAAGAAAACATTTTTTCGTCATTTTCGAAAAGATAATCAACAAAACCCCTTCACCAATTATGTTTACGTAATTTAACGGGGGAACTAATTGTAATGCAGGTCTGAAACAGGGTTTTGATTTAAGGGTGAGGTCATATATAGTGTTTCGAATTCATGGTGAGGTCATAAATAGGGTAGGGAATATCGCAGATTTTGGTCATAAATAGGGTAAGGGTTTTGGGAAGNCAGAATCGCCTAGGGAAGATACAAGGGTACACCAAGCATCCTCGCTCCTTTCTCGTTGAAACAGAGAAGGGTACAGTACGACGTAACAGATCTGCTCTTGTCAAAGCAGAGTTACAGTCCTCTTCAAAGGCAGACAAGCCAGCCGCTTTCACCAACATTGCGAGAGACCATGCTGGTCAAGACACAGAAGAAATGACTGGCCCATCTCAGCTCCCGGGTACCATAACTGAAGCTCCAATGCAGTGTGTCCGATGTCAAACAGCTCCATTACAAACATGTTCAGGGAGAGTTGTTAGGCCGCCTGATCGATTGGACCTCTAAACTAATATGTTTGACTTTATCAGGGAAGTTAACGAAAAGGTTATTACATTTATCCACTTCAGAGACTGTGCTATGCACTATCAAATATTGACTTTTTTTGATGGTCAAAATGTTACGTAATAGTTAATGTTTACCATCAGATAAGACTTAAGGAGGAAACAATGCTTGCAGACATTATTATCTTTCTTAATCAGTTCACTCGATTGTACTAAAAAGGGAGATGTACAGTTATGCCCATATATGTATTTGTCATGCATGTTCTTAGCTTGCAATGCATGCTAGGACCACATGCTTTCAAGGGTCTCCATTTTGATTAAACATGTGTTGTGTTGTCATGAGTTCATTCTACCGATTCTACAAACAGTATGCTATTGATTGGTTAATGGTAGACATAATCCTTATTGATCACTTGATCAGTTGGTGCTAAAGATTACCCCTAATTGATCGGTTAGTGCTAAAGATTACCCTTACTGATTGGCTGGTGGTAAAGATTACCCTTATTGATCAGTAGTTGGTAAATATTACCCTTATTAATCAGTTGGTGATAAAGATTACCCTTATTGATCGGTTGGTGACAAAGATTACCCTTATCGATCGCTTGGTGAGAAAGACAACCCTTAGTCGTTAGGTTGGTGGTAAAGATTACCCTTATTAATCAGTTGGTAATAAAGATTACCCCAAGTGATTGGTTTGTGATGAAGATTTGCCTTATCGATCAGTTGGTGATAAATACTACCCTTATTGATATGTTAGTGATAAAGATTACCTTATTGATCGGTTGGTGATAAAGATTACCCTTACTGATCACTTGGTGACAAAGAATACCCTTATTGATCGGTTGGTCACAACGATTACCCTTACTGATTGGCTGGTGGTAAAGGTTACCCTTATTGATTGGTTGGTGATAAATGTTACCTTTATTGGTCGGTTGGTGAGAAAGGTTAGATTTATTGATCGGTTTGTGATAAAGACTACTCTTATTGATTGGTTGGAGATAAACATTACCCTTATTGATTGGTTGGTGATAAAGATTGGCCCTGTTGATCAATTGGTGATAACGATTACCCTTATTGATCGATTGGTGATAAAGGCTACCCTTATTAATTGGTTAGTGAGAAAGACTACCCTTATTGATTGGTTTGTGATAAAGATTACCCTTCTTGAACGGTTGGTGATAAAGACTACTCTTATTGATCGATTGGTGATAAGGATTACCCTTATTGATCAGTTGGTGATAAAGATTACCCTTATTGATCATTTAGTAGTAAAGATTACCCTTATTGGACGGTTGATGGTAAAGATTGCCCATATTGATCGGTTGATGGCAAAGAGTACCCTTATTACCGTTATTGATTAGTTGGTGGTAAAGATTACCTTTATTGATCGGTTGGTGGTAAAGATTACCCTTATTGATCACTTAGTGATAAAGACTACCCTTATTGATTGGCTGGTGGTAAAGCTTACCCTTATTGATCAGTTGGTGGTAAAGAGTACCCTTAATGATCGGTTGGTAATAAAGATTACCCTTAGTAATCAGTTGGTAATAAAAATTACGCTTACTCATCAGCTAGTACATGTAGTTTAGACTACCCTTGTTAACCGGTTCGTGGTAAACATTACCCTTATTGATCAGTTGGTGGTAGACTATCCTGATTGATCGGTTGGTAATAAAGATTACCCTTATTGATCGGTTGGTGATAAAGACTAACCTAATTGATTGGTTATAAGGATTACCATTCTTGATCAGTTGGTGATAACGACCACCCTTATTGATCGGTTGCTGATAAAGATTACCCTTATTGATTGGTTGGTGATAAAGACTAACCTTATTGATTTATTGGTTGCAAGGATTACCCTTCTTGATCAGTTGGTGATGAAGACCACCTTTATTGATCGGTTGCTGATAAAGATTACCCTTACTGATCGGTTGGTGATAAAGTTTACCCTTATTGATCGGTTGAAGATGAACATTACCCTTACTGATCGATTGGTGATAAAGACTACCCTTATGGATCAATTGGTGATAAAGATTACCCTTATTGATCGCTTGGTGATAAATATTACCTTTATGGGTCGGTTGGTGAGAAAGGTTAGATTTATTGATCGGTTTGTGATAAAGACTACTCTTATTGATTGGTTGGTGATAAAGACTACCCTTATTGATCGGTTGGAGATAAACATTACCCTTATTGATTGGTTGGTGATAAAGATTGGCCCTATTGATCAATTGGTGATAACGATTACCCTTATTGATTGATTGGTGATAAAGGCTACCCTTATTAATTGGTTAGTGATAAAGACTACCCTTATTGATTAGTTTGTGATAAAGATTACCCTTCTTGAATGGTTGGTGATAAAGACTACTCTTATCGATTGATTGGTGATAAGGATTACCATTATTGATCAGTTGGTGATAAAGATTACCCTTATTGATCAGTTCGTGGTAAAGATTACCCCTATTGATCGGTTGGTGGTAAGGATTACCCTTATTGATCGGTTGGTGGCAAAGAGTACACTTATTAATCGGTGTGTAATAAAGATTACCCTTCTTGATCGGTTGGTGATGAACACTAACCTTACTGATCGACTAGTTATAAGTATTACCCTTCTTGATCAGTTGGTTATAAAGACTACCCTTATTGATCGGTTGATGATAAAGATTACCCTTATTGATCAATTGGTGATAAGGATTACCCTTATTGATCAGTTGGTGGTAAAGATTACCCTTATTAATCGGTTGGTAGTAAAGATTACCCTTATTGATGAGTTTGTGATAAATATTACACTTATTGATTTGTTGGTGATAAAGACACCCCTTATTGATCGGTTCGTAGTAAAGATTACCTTTATTGATCGGTTTGTGATAAAGGTTGACTTTACTGATTGGCTGGTCATAACGATTACCCTTATTGATTGGTTGGTGATAAAGATTACGCTCATTGATCAGTTGGTGGTAAAGATTACCCTTTTTGATCGGTTGGTTGTAAGGATTACCCTTATTGATTGGTTAATGGCAGAGTACCCTTGGCTTATTAATCGGTTGGTAATAAAGATTACCCTTAGAGATCGGTTCATAATAAAAATTACGCTTATTCCTCAGCTAGTAGTAGTAAAGGTAGATTACCCCTATTAATCGGTTCGGGGTAAACATTACCCTTATTCATCATTTGGTGGTAAAGACTACCCTGATTGATCGGTTGGTAATAAAGATTACCCTTATTGATCGGTTGGTGATAAAGACTAACCTTATTAATTGATTGGTGAAGGATAACCCTTATTGATCAGCTGGTAATAAAGACCACCCTTATTGATTGATTGATGATAAAGATTACCCTTATTAATCGCTTAGTGATAAAGACTACCCTTATTGATCAGTTGATGAGAAAGATTACCCTTATTGATCGGTTTGTGACAAAGACTACCCTTATTGATCGGTTGGTGATAAAGATTACCCTTATTGAACAGTTGGTGATAAAGACTGCCCTTATTGATCAATTGGTGATAAGGATTACCCTTATTGATGAGTTTGTGATAAAGATTACCCTTATTGATTGGTTGGTGATAAAGATTATCCTTATTGATGAGTTTGTGATAAAGATTACGCTTATTGATTGGTTGGTGATAAAGATTACCCTTCTTGATGGGTTGGTGATAAAGATTATCCTTATTGATCAGTTGGTGGTAAAGATTACCCTTAAGGGTCGCCATGTTGATTAAACATGTGTTGTGTTGTCGTGAGTTCATTCTACGGATTCTACAAACAGTATCTTATTGATCGGTTGGTGGTAAACATTACCCTTATTGATCAGTTGAAGCCAAAGATTACCCTAATTGATCAATTGGTGGTAAAGATCACCCTTATTGATTGACTGGTGGTAAAGATTACCCTTATTGATCAATTGATGGTAAAGATTTCCGTTATTGATCGTTTGGTGATAAAGATTACCCTTATTGATTGGCTCATGGTAAAAATTAGTTTTATTGATTGGCTGGAGGTGAAGATTAACCTTAATGATCAGTTGGTGGCAAAGATTGTCTTACCCTAATTGATCGGTTGATGATAAAAATTACCCTTATTGATCGGTTGGTGATAAAAATTTCGCTAATTGATCGGTTGGTGGTACAGATTACCCTTATTGATCGGTTGGTGGTAAAAATTACCCTTATTAATTGGCTGGTGGTAAAGATTACTGTTATTGATCAGTTGATGGTAAAGATTACCCTGATTGATCGGTTGGTGATAAAGATCACCCTTATTGATTGGTTGGTGATAAAGATTACGCTTATTGATCGGTTGGTGGTAAAGATTACCCTTCTTGATCGGTTGGTGATAAAGATTACCCTTACTGATCGCTTGGTGATAAAGATTACCCTTATTGATCAGTTAGTGATAAACATTATGCTTATTGTTCGCTTGGTGGTAAAGATTACTCTTATTGATCAGTTGGTGATAAAGATTACCCTTATTGATTGGTTGGTGATAAAGATTACGCTTATTGATCGGTTGGTGGTAAAGTTTACCCTTACTGATCAGACAATGGTAAAAAATAATTTCATTGATAAAGATTATGCTTATTGATCGGTTGGTGATAAAGGTTACCTGTATAGATTGGTTGGTGGTAAAGATTACCTTTATTGATTGGTTGGTGGTAAAGAGTATCCTCATTGATCGAAAAAGGTTGGTGGTAAGGATTACCCTTATTGATCGGTTGGTGATAGAGACTAACCTTATTGATTGATTGGTGATAAGGGTTACTCTTATTGATCAGTTGGTGATAAATATTACCCTTATTGATCGGTTGATGATAAAGATTACCCTTATTGATCGCTTAGTGATAAAGACTACCCTTATTGATCGGTTAATGAGAAAGATTACCCTTATTGATCGGTTGGTGATAAAGACTACCCTTATTGATCGGTTGGTGATAAAGATTACCCTCATTGAACAGTTGGTGATAAAGACTACCCTTATTGATCAATTGGTAATAAGGATTACCCTTATTGATCAGTTGGTGATAAAGATTACTCTCAATGATCTGTTTGTGGTGAATAGTTGTATTACCCTTGTTGATTGGCTGGTGTTAAAGACTACTTGTATCCTTACTGATCGGGTGGTGGTAAGGAATAACCTTAATGATTGGTTGGTGGTAAAGGTTAACCTTAATGATTGGTTGGTGGGGAATATTTCCCCTTGACTTTTGTGGTCGAGATTACTATTATTGATACATGACTTGTAAATTTGCCATAAGTTTACTGATATTGCTCGAGTGGTGGTAAAGATTATCCAAATTTATTTGTTGGCAGTAAATTATTAATATTATCATTGTGGGCACTACCCATTACCCAAGATTACCCATGTTGATTGGTTGGTTATGAGTTACCCTTACCAATTGGTTAACAGTTAAGGTTACTGTTATTGATTGGCTGATGGTAAAGAATACTCTTATTAATTTGTCAGTGGTAAAGATTACCCTTATTGATATGTTACTAGCAGTAAGGTTATCCACATTCATGGAAAAGACTACCCTTCTCGATCCATTTGTTGAAAAGATTGCTCTTTGATCGAGATTACCCTCATTGATCTGTTACCATTATTGATTCATTGCCGGTAAGGATTTCGCATTTTGATAATTTGGCAGGGATAGATTATCCATATTTACATTTAGGTATTTATCAAAAATACCATTTTATGTCTTGTTGGCAGTAAATATTTCTGTGGCAGTAAATATTTAGCATATTGATTCTTAAGCAAAAATAGATAACCCATAGTTATATTTTGGTGTCAAAAATTATTACTCTTACTGATTTGTGCTTGATAAGGATTAAATCACCCTTATTGATTTGTTGGTGATAACACTTTTTTTACATGTACTTTAAATTGCAGTGTTCTCATTTCTGTTTTAGCCACCACACCCAGTTTCCATACCGACATGAACACAACAGATATCGGAAATAATAACTGTTTGTTGATGCACATGTTATATGTTCTTCACAATAATTATTCTCATTTTGCTTCACTACTGACAGTAGTGAAAGAATTGTGACTACAGAAACAAACTTTTATAATAGACTCGTTTTCCTTGTTTCCTTTACCACATTTATGTTCTTAGTTATGTTTTGTCAGAGGTTGTTTTCAGAATCTTTTTAGTGTCAGCAGAGTTACATGTAAGGTTGGCTGCAAAGTACACCTTTACTGTTTATCAAGTCACTTGTTGTCAAGACAAAACTGCTTCTATTTGTTAGTTTGATATGGGGTTTCTAAGATCAAACACATTGGTACGTGTATGTGGAAGATACAGATGGTAAGCAACTTGTGTTACAAGGTTACTCTTTTACACGAAAAATCGGCCACTTACATGTAGTATTCAGTGATGGGCGAGATACGTGTAGGTTAAATGGATGGGGTAGAAACTTTTTCCTCCTTGCAGACAGTTAACTCATGTTCAATGATTGAACACTTGTGTAGGAATAACTTGATGGTGGTTGCACGGTGCAAAAAAATAAAAAGCCAGTCCACGCCAAGACTTTCCCCTCTCCATTATGTCTACTTTCCATTTTGTCACATGCCGCCAATAGGCTTCAGTTTATTAGCAGTCATTTGATTGCTTCAATGCAAGTGGTTCTTGCAATTATTTTCATTCATGTCCTATTTTTTCCTTTCACTTTTCCCTAGCTTAGTTGTGGGCACTTCTGTTCAGGTACCTTCCTTTGCTTTTTTCTCTTTGTTGCCTCGATCATGGCACTATTTTCAATACATTATATTCATCTTTATCTTCCACCTGCTGTTCAGATTCTTCAAGTGCATAGCTCTCTTCCTCCATTGTCTTGCTGTCCTCTGCCCCATCCCTCCTTCCCTTCTTTACTGCTGCACGAATGGTGTAAGGTGTCTTGCGACTTTCCTTGTTGTACATGTAAGTCCGCACAAAAGCTGCTTTAACCTACAAAAAGTATTTTAGGGGAAATATTTTAAGGGAATCAGACTTCTTTGTGGGATGCAGAGTAGTTTAGTTGGATCTGTAAGAGTTTACTTTGTCTTTGTTCTTTGCTTGTTGCTGTTGTTTCGGATGTTTTTTGTTGTTATTTTATTGTGATTGTTAATGTGCATGTACCTGTTAGGGTCGTTTAAAGATTGGACCAAACATAATGCAAAAGGGACAGTAAAACTGAAAAACCCTTGAGATTTATCTTCAGTTATCTTGTTTGTTGCTGTTTCCCCTGCGGTAGTTCTTGTTTTCCCTATTTTTGCTATTGTTCTAACTGTCTTGATTGTTAATTTTGCTGCTACTGTTTCTGTTTCTGCTTCTGTTGTTGTTTTCGTTTTCGTTTTTGTTGCAGTTGTAATTGCCGTCTGTTTCTTATCACTTGTTGTTTTCCTTGTCCCTGGTACTTCTGTTCCTGCTATATAACAAAACACTTAACGACAGGTCACTCAGCAAGCTAGTTACGTGGACATCTGCTCTCATTTTCCCTAGCATTTCTACATTGACTTCGTTTCAGGACATTACATTAGTTTCCTGGAATAGCAGAACTAGCCATTTTGCAAAGGACCTGTCATTAAGTGTATAGTGTGAGTCTATAGCTCATAAATCATGATTTAATCAATTTATAGCAACACAACACACCAAAGCCTATCCCACTTTTTGTGGTGTGATGCATCTAGGAATACATGTACATGTAAGGTTATACTCCCGCTGGAGTGCTAATCCTCCTCGCATGAATCTTTAGGTAATTTGTCAGGTACCCATTTGTACTCCTGGGTGAAGAGAGGTACTGTAAGGATAAGTGTTTCGCCCAAGACCACAACAAAATGACCCTAACTAAGGCCTTAACCCAAACTGTTGACCCAGAGTTCAACGGCCTGAGCATTAAAGTAACCTACTTAGCTGTCTTTTGATGAGCTCAAATTTTCCATCAACAAACTTTCCTAAGACCTGCAGGTACAAACCTTTGATGGAATAGAAGCAACAGGATCTCTCTGTCCTTCAAACTGGCCAACCCCTATGATAGAATCCCAGTCCTCTTTTGTCAAGTCATACCCCTCCATCACTTTCATAACCTTGGAAACCCCAGAACTGATTTCTTCTGATTCCTGCCAAGATAAAATATTTCAATACCTGTCAACAAAATTGGTCGCCCAGAAGGTGATCAATAGCCGTGCAATTTTGTCTCAAGTAAGCACAGTTAGCTAGTTGCAGTTATAGATGCCACATTGTAATTCTGAGCATGTGTAACCTTGACTATGAATATAATTTAAACATATGAGTTGGAGAACAAAGTACTTCAGTCTGAGAAAATACAGTGTAAACATTGCAACTTCACTTTAAAATGCCAAAAATGGATTTCAAGGAACAAATTCAATACAAAGAATCTCCACATACATGTATGCAGTTATTAATAAGAGAAAAGTGGTGTTCCTCCCCTCTCAGTCACCCCCACCATAGGCAGGATACATGTATTTCAACCTTCAGTTGCTTAAATGTTCTGTGCAAATGCCACACTCTTAGTCATTAAATTTGTGATGACTAAAACAGTCACTGGAAGTCACTGAAAGTTTTGTTTTCAGAAAGTCTATTATAATGGCTTAAAGTTGCTGTCATGGGTAAGGATTGTTTTCAAATCTTTCACCTTTCTTGGACCCTCTGCTTTAACAATGACAATTGCAGAAATTAATTACATTCCTGTATTGAACATTCCATTGGCACAAAACTGCCAAAACTGCATATAATTATGAATCTTCATGTCCACTACCTGGACAATATAACATTCTTTTTAACAAACATTCATAATTATTTGCATTTTCATTATTTTGTAATTCCACACATTTTTATTGAATTTTTTTCATTTTTCTCTGCTTCTTGTCATTAACATTTTACCCATCAAAGACTGTAGTTCAGGCAGTTAAAAGCTTGTAAGTTTTTAATTGTTTCAGCCAGAGATCGTTTTTAATTTTTTTACCAAATTAGATGTACAGTTGATGAACAAATTCACAGACCTTCTTTTCCGGAGATGGCTTTTTTTACTTCAAGATGTGGGATACATAGATGAGTCTTCTTTTCCTCTCTTGGATGGCTGTTCTGTTGCTCACCCATTCGGATTTTTATTTTCCTTCTGTCTCTTCTCTTTTTCATGTAGTGACTCCTCGTCTTCATTTGCAAGTGTTCCCCCATTTTCTTCTGGCTTGTCAGATCTCTATGAGGAGAAAAAAAAAAATTTATACATGTATGTTCCTTTCCAGATGACTGATAAGACACCACATGTTCATGGCCATTGACTTTTGACTTTTCAAAAGGTCAACAGGTGACAACCTAATGTTAGCTTCAAAAAATTGCTTGTGGTAGCCACGTCTTATCTCGTACTTACACTGTATGGACTTCACTCATTCAGTTATTTATCAGAATTCAAGCAAAATGTCACCATCTGTAGCTTAGTCAATTGTTGTGTTCTAAGACAAAGAATTTTGTAGTGAACTACACGTATAACTAGGTAATATTCATTGTAGTTTGAGTAAGATTTGGTATCTTATAAATTATTATATTTTTTGCTCAGAGACATTTTAGCTTAATATAATTAATATAATTATAGCGATAGAGCTCATTAATTCAAATTGAATTTTAAGTTGCATGAAGGTCCAAGAAGTAATCAGTTGAAAGTAAATTTCCCTTTACAACTTAGCAATCATGTGTACACATTTCAAACTGAAATATCATTGCCCCAAAGTGGTAGTCAACTCACCACCCTGTGAATAGAGTTGCTTTTGATTTTAGAATGATCAAAGTGGGCTCTGCTTGTGGAGTAGCAGTTTACAAACCTGTTTCCTCTTTGTAGCAACAACTTTTCGTGATTCTCTTTCTGCAGGAGCTGAACCAAAGAAGTCAAGAGCAGACGTCAGTTTCTGTGGAGTTTCTCTAGGCTTTACTGGGCTGGATAGAGAAAAAAACATTCAGAACTTAAAAATAAACACTCACACAGAACTTACATGTAGTTTGAAACAAATTGACCTACAGTGTAAAGAACAAATTGACCTACAACATTCATGTACACTGTACATATTTTAAGATTCCAAAAAAAATAAACAACTTCTCATAGCACAATTTTAAACAAATTTGCTTGTACTACATAAAAATCTCAAGGAAAGCATTACTGAAAGAGAAACCTTAGTAACTGTTCAAAAGAAAACTAATCACATTGTACCTCTCCTTAACGTGCACAACCTCCTTGCTTGTTTTTGTTTCCATCGGCTTGGCAGATTTCTTTAGCTTCCGAGGTACAACTTCCTCCTCTTCTGCAGAATACCAACAGATACACTTTCAACCAAGATTAAATAAATTTAATACAAACTTGTACAAGATATGTTGATAAAATCCAAGAGAAAAGACCAACGATCTTTTTTTGGAGGGGGGAGGTGGGGGGTGGTTAAATAGCAGCCTTAGCTATTTTTAGAGAGTTGCTATCTTTAACTGGGAACTTGCTAACATTTTGGCAAAAAATTTACAAAGTATTAAAAGGCAGCAATCTGGATTATTGAACAACAAATTTAATTATATTAGAATAGAGAATGGGAGGAATCGACATAAAACTTGTACAACAAAATTAATACCAAAATAAAGTAATGTGCTGCCACTAAAATAGTTTGGTACACAGATTTGATTGCACTGCTCTCTAATTTAACTATATTTACCAGGACAGTGCGGCTTGAGTATAAGCTGCTGCACATGTAAAGAGTAAATTAAACACAATGTACCTTATGCACCATTATTATTTTTGGTAATAGGTAAACTTTACAACCTGGGCTTAAATAGCTGACAATTAATTTGACATAATCCTTTTCAGGCCGTCTTTCCAATTTGAGCAAACACAATGAACTATACACATAGCTTATCTGAGTAAGAATTGTAACCTAGCTCCAAACAAAATGTCAACACATACAATATAATTATGTGCAGCTATGTAGCCTGTCTACAGATTAGTGTTGCTCAGTTCAATTTGAGTGCACAAAAGCTGAGCAGAGATTTTGATGACTGAAGCAGATTAAGTATTTCATTTACAATCAAAGTACTGGAACCAAGAAGCAGACCTTTTTTAGCTCTATTTGAAGGCATGGATTCTTGAATGTCACAATCTAACTCTGACACAGTTGTTTTACATTGTATTTGCAACTGGTATAATGGTTTAATGCAAATTGCACATTTCATCATGCATTTACCAGAGTCCCCAACAGTGATTAGCCTCTTTATCTGGCTTGATTTTGAACCTCCTCCTTTTTTTGCTGATATGGCTTTCCTGCAACAGAAAATGACAAAAATGAACAAAAAAATACCTGGATTAAGGGGAAAGTTAGAAAATGCGCATGGAGGTGAAAGAATCTAAAAGAATCGCATCAAATGACCTGGCTAGTAATCTTCCACTGGAAATGGTTTCCCATAGATAATACATGTAAATCAATAATTCGGTTGAAGGTACATGTAAATCAGGGCAATTGGTTTAATTGAATTATGAATGGCTAAAAAAACTTGAATTTTCTATGCCCTTCAGACAAGGAGCTTCATATTTTGCTTGTCTTGTTTACTTTTCTTTCCTTTTCTTTTCTTTTATTTAGTTGAAAGACAACTTGCCTGATCCCTTGCCCACTGGGCAAGTGAGAATGTAAAGCTACTGTACTTGTCAAGCAGGAACATCTACTTGTCTGGGATGACCAGATATGCCACTTTTCTTGAGCCACAGGCTGTGGCTACTAAATTATTAGTGGAGATGACTGGCAGCCGTAATGTTGTCTATTGACTTTTCGTCACTCAGCAAATTTATTTGCCTTTGAGTGAGTGCATGACTGTGTATAATGCCATTTTGAAATAAACTTGATTGACACATGTAGGAATACGAACTGTAGGTCTGCAGATTATGATGCAGAATGTACTCCTGTTAACCTTAACCTTTATCATGCGAGAACCAGTGAACTGACCCAACACAAGCTACAGTGTAAATGTACATGTATCAATCCTGTTATCCTAAGCTTAACAATAAAGTACAAGTACAAGAAAGATAGACATTTCCTATACAATATCCTCTCTCAAAAATGATACAAAGCAAGTAACATGTGCATCGAAAGAAAGTGATGTACAAACTTGTTGTATAGTATAGTACAACATGAAATGTGCATGTTGATCATTGACTAATTGCACTAAATGTCCCAGGAAATTAGTAAATGCATGACAAGATGTGTTGAATGTTACTTTAGGGGTAAGATATTGCAGTGTTGACTGAAGGGAGGAAACAGCTTTTGGTTCACGTTATCAAATGGTTGTTAAAGAATCATGGGTTCGACAAAATTGATGGACATTTCAGTATACTAAACTGTT